TTTTTTTGCCCCTTTCGTATTTTATTGCTTTATGGCGTCCGTCATATTTTTACGCCCATTACGCGGCGGCGTATGAAAAAATACCGACGACGACGAAATTCTACTGTTATTATTATCGGCCGTCGTATAAACGCGTTAACGAGCCGCGCGTCGAATTGTTATTATTGTTGGTATTGTTATTATTGTTGCTGTTGCCGCCGTCGTCATTACGGTTCGCCGTCCGCGCGTACGTATATGCGAGACAGCTGTTCGTCCGGAGTAGAGAGGAAAGAAATAAAAGGAAACGCGGAGAGAGAGAGAGAGAAAAAACCGTCCGTCTTATGCGGGCGGACCGACCCGTGGATTTCGTGTTTTACACACGGAACGCGTTGTAATAAATCGTCACCGCCGGAATACGAGCGCGCTCGTATAATATAATAAGTTATGTTTATATTGCGGCCCGACGGCGATAATAGCTAATAATGTAAAATACACCTCGGCAATCGTTATGCGCGCGACGGCCCAGAAGGGGTCGGTGACGGGGAACGAGAGGAAATTTTCGGAATTTGTTTTTTTTTTTTCCGATAACGCGCGCCCGCCGCGTCCGCGTGTCTTAGCCGGGGGGGTGGGGGGGTGGGGTGGGGTGCTAAGATGAGAAAATACGCGGAATCGTTATGCGAACGGTGAATTTGGAAATGCCGCAGCGTACCGGCCACAGGGTGTCCAACTGAACGCGACGTTGTAACCGTTCGTTTTCCGTCTGCGGCGCGACACGAATCGCGGACAATATTGTCGAAGTGTGTAATGACGTAATGACGGCGCCGGAACCCGGGCCGAAACTCGAGTTCGCGTTACCTGCGGCGGCAGCGGTTAAAAATAAAAACAAAATAAAACGACGACCGAGAACGGGTTGGCGTCGGGGCGACGGCCGAGCTCCTCCTCCACACACCCCCCCCCACCCACCCACCGACACTCGCGGACGCGCTCTCCGTCGTCGTCCCGGACCGGCCGAACCGTCGTCTGTCGCCCCGGACGGGATCTACAGACGGTGACGGGCGGCCCGCCGTATATCAATGGTCCTTGACGCGCGCGCCGCCGCCGTTGTTCGGGTTTTCGGCGAGGCGCGAACGGACGACAGGAAAAAAAAAAAAAAAACAACCACAAAACTTTCAAAACCAATACAGATCTGAAATAGCGTGCGTGTAACGCGGCCGCGACGCGTGCTTTTTCAGTTTCCGCGGCAACTGCCCGGAACGTTATTTCACTCGCGCGGCGGGCGTAACGACGTCGCGGGACGCGATCGTATTGTCATTGAACAACACGCGTCGCGTCGGGGCGGGCGATTCCGACGGCGGGACGGGGCGGCCGGGAAAGACGATATTGTTATTATTATTATTACGTTGTCGTGTGCGGCGAGAGGGCCGCAGCTATCTGTACAATATTGTGCGCGTGCGTGCGCGCGTAATAATATTGTACAGCGTCGGATTATTCGGTACCGGCGCGGGGCGGGGCGGGGCCACGCGAACGCCAATCGGAACGGGCGGCGAGCCGGCGCGGGCGCGCGCTCTCGTAGACACAATAATAACAATAATAATAATAACGCGCGCGTCATAACTTTCAACAATAACCGGCCGCCGGCTGCGGTATATTTCGTTATTGTTTTCGTCGGCGGCGCGGTCGCCCGGCGGTTTGTCCGCGCGAGGCGCACGCGCGCGCCCCCCTCCCTCCCCCCGAGAATAGTGACGGAAAATATGACTGCCAATGCGCGGCGGGGCGCCGTCGTCGCCGCCGCCGCCGCCGTGTGCACGCGGCGACAGTGCGACGAATAAAAATATCGTACATAATTATCTACGACCGTCGCGTTTTTACGGGGATCGTAATGTACACACAGCTGCTGTGCGACGTAGTGTTATAATATTGTGTTTTGCGTGCAAAAAATAAAACCGTCCGTCCGTCTCGGCCTTCGTCGAATATTATGTACACCTATCCGATCGCGATAGGACGGGGGGCGCGGATTCGTCGATTATGCCGTGGAGAATATTAACGGTGTACGGGTGGAAATCGTACGCGAAAAAAAAAAACAAAAAAAAGATAATAAATACATAATAATAAACAGTGTCCCCCTTCTATTCCTCGGGGCCCGAAGACGCACACCCGCGAAGACTGCGGTGCATAACCGCTGCGGGCACGACCGCATCTCGGGTGGGACGGCCCAAAGGGGGTGGGGGAGACGTTCGGGCTTATTATGCATCTTATTCACTATATATTATCTATACGAAATTATATCATCGTTATCTTTGGATTTTCAAACGGCAATGCCGTCGTCCTCTTCTCCTCCGTCGCGTTCCAATCGCGGACTGGGGATGCACATGATGGAGATAGTTTTTCGATTTTCCCCAAGAGTACCCAGCGAATGTGAAAAACCGGAAAACCGGTGCAACGTTAAACAAATATTATTAAAGAAAATGTATGCTGCTTATTCAGTTATTATTTTTTCACTATAAAACGACCTGTATATTGTGATTGTAAATAATCGTCACTGTCAACAGAACTCCGGTTCAGTGTCGTGTTTTTAGTAGGCAACGGTTTATCGTTGTTCACAGATACTGATTAATTTCCCCTCTGCATCCTACACTCCTAACCTCTCGCCAACGGAACAGTGGCTGCACACGCACGCCCATTATCCTGGGTCAGCGGTTTTTAACCGTTTCATTTTCGATGTTATTTATTTGCGCGACCTCGTCAGTTGTATTTTGATGATGAGTTTAGTGTGCGTGGGCATTCGTATCATAACTATCGCGGTACATAATGTAACATCGCCTCTGTCAATAATATGCTGGTTTTGTGCGGATTTATCAAAACAAAAAAAAAAGAATAAAATCCCGTGTCGTTCGTCCGGTGGTCGAATTTCACACGAGTATTTTAGAGTTTTAAATTATAATAATATATAAAGGTATAAAAATATTACGAGAACGTTTAAAATAATGTGTGTATACGGAAAGCACGCCCGTATTGTATTTCCCGATACGTTTTAAATTTGAATAATTTCGTTATTCCGGTGTAACCATATACCAATATATACATATTTATGCCTGCAGCTATACCGGTATAATAAATTTCAACGAAACACATTTTTCCGGCTCGTATATTAATACATTATAATAAACAATAAATATGTATATAGGTACGTTTTTCATTTTTTTTTTTTCTGTACTACCTGCAGCGGCGGTTAAAAATAACAATATTAAAAAAAAACAAACAAAAAAACGACCGAACGGGTTGGCGTCGAGCTGACGGAGCTCCTCCCTCCCGCGAGCCGGCGGTGTCTAGAGGGGCCCAGAACCGCCCTCTTATACACACTCCAGGTCCGGATTTCTCTTTGACTTTAATTTCCCGACGCTTCGTGGTCGCAAGCAGTACACGTAGCATTTTCTTATTACAGTAGACACCGGGCCATATCAGTTAACAATACACCGACAGATTACACCGCGTGTAACGTGCATTTCCCTGCGTACCTCGTCGTTGCACGAGCCGCCGCCGTTCCAATGCGCTTTCGCATATTATTTTTTCAGTCCGCGGGCGATTTACCCGAATTATTTAGTTTATCGACTGTGAAGTATACAAACGTATTGTAATACCATCAACCAATTGAACGAATTTACCTGTACCGCGTAAATAATAACGTGTAACTTTTACTTTTATTTTTTCGGTTGTTTTCCATTTCGATTCTCTATATAAATGAACGAATCCATCGTCCGTACACATGTATAATAACATCATTATTGAACGGCGGAATTAACTTCAAACGTACTATATATGTGTGTGGTATGTGTATACACAAAATAATAATACTTTATAGTGTACGAGTAATGCAGCGTAATGCGTGCAGTATACGCCGATCGACTTTCTATTTGCGCGTACGTTGCAGCTGCAATATTATTATTATGATAACGACGGCGGCTGCTGCTGGTGTACAGAGAGTGTGCGGATTACTCTACGGTGTTCTATTATTTTTATTATTTTTTTGCCATCGATTTAGAGGTGATCTACATAAAATTATATTCACGTGGCCATCGCTTGGGAAAAAAAAAAAAAACAACAACTCCAACGCCATAAAAAGAAATCGATACACACACACACACACACATATATATATATATATTAATAGTAATACCCAATGAATTTAATGCGCACTAAAAAAAAAAAAACAAACCTTTAAAAAACGAATCACGAAATACTCTATAAATATTAAAAATGCATAAAAAAAAAAAAGGTTGATATTTAATTATTTTTCTTTATTATAATATTGCTATTGGATTAAAAATACAATAAAATACAATCAATGCAACAAATACAACAAATGGGAAGGGGGGAGGCGTGGAACAACCTAAATACAGATGGAAAATTGAACGGTTCATCAAAGCGAAACAAAAGTTTCAAAACTGAGTTTTTGTCATTATACAATATTGTTGGGCATATAATACAATCGTGAAATTTCGAATTTTGTTGTATATTATTTAATACCTATATCCGGTACTATAGGTATAACAGAAAACTAAAAGATAATTAAAAAAAAATCAATTCACCGCTACAAACTCTATACATAGCCATATACAAACGAATATAATCACGTAGTAAGAACCGTGTTAAATTTTGTATAGATTTTTTAAGATTTTTTACAGGATCTGCAATCTCTTATATCATTTATTCTAAACAGTTGTAAAATCCCGCTGTTACATCCCGTATATTCTAACCAGTCATATGGTCTTCGGCGTTTGCGACGCCTATAGTGTCTTGGGAACCGGCAAGTGCATAGTTGAATTGCTGCTGGGTCGGTGTGGACATAACCCGCAGGCTGCAATAACGAAGTGGTTTACACTGTGTGTGTGTGTGGGGGGGGAGGGTGTCGTTCATTCACTTAGTGATTGTCTTATTGATTAATCGAAAATAGCGGACATATTTATTTGTGTTCTGGGATTTCTTTTCAGAGGCGTCTGTGCTGTTTCTCCAATCGATATTTCCTACGGCGTTTCTCATGTGGCGCGTGGCTAAAGTAATCTTAATAAAACGGTTGGCCTTCGAGGTTTTTTCGGGCGCGAGGCCTCGTACACGGATCAAAATATCGTTTGTAATTCTTTCACTGTCTGCGCATCACGCGATAACGGTATGATTAAAAAAAAAAAAAAAAAAAAATACTATTATTGTACGACGGCGCGCGTAACGAAACACTCGACCGCCCGGTGACGGCGCGAAGTATTTCTCACCTCGAATTTTGATTGTGTTTTTAGCGAGAGAAAAATGAAAAAAAAAAATACACACGATTTTCGCTATAAGTATCCGGGCGCCCACGACCCGTCCGCCTGCCGGTTTTTTCGCCGCCGCCGCGTGTTTACACGCGCGAAAACCGACACCGTTCTTGGCTCGTCCGTCCGTATTACCTCCATAAATAATTTTTACACGGGGCTTCTATCCGCGTCGACATTGTTAATATCATCACACGATTGCGAACAAACGACGCGGGTATTATTGCGATATTCGCCGTCGCTCCGCAGTTTATGTTGCGCGTTTTTCTCGAACGGTTTGAAAAAAAAAAAGTTATTATACCGGAAATCGACCGAGGCGCGTCGCGTCTCCCGCACGTCGATTTCGGCCGGCCGCCCGTCGGCGACTCCGGCGCGGTGTTTACGGCGTGTGCTTTGGTTTTGATTTTTTTTTTTTTTCGCCGAGCGTTTACGCTGCGGCCGGTCGCGTTTTGCACGCCGGCGAGAAGACGGGACGTTGCCGGAGCTGTGTGTGGCTACGTGGACCGTACGCGGCGCACACACAGGAAACGCCGGGTTCACGATATTTTCGAAAATATACTCGGCACAAGCTCGTGCGTCGCGCCGTATCCGAGTCTGCGTAATTACGAACCCGAATTTGTTTTTTTTTTTCCAACTATTTCCGCGTGTCGATTCAGTCTGTTGACGACTTGCCGGAGCGAATCGAGGGGAAAATCGAAAAATAAGGAAGAATATTGTAACAAACTGACGCGAACACGGCCGGCGTAATGCGGGCGACCTGCCGTTGCGCGTGTCGGCGGCCGATATTACGCCCGTAATAAATTAACCGGAAAAAAATAATAATAATAATAAAAAAACCGCTCGATTTCGATAGTATAATATCATACCGGTTTGTCTCTGTGCACACACGTAATAATATTATATTAGTCGTATCGACGTATAATAATAATAATAATAATGCGTGTGATGCGCGATCGTTTGTGTGCGTGTGTGTGTGTTTTAAGTAGCTTATTTTTTTTTTATATATATATTATTATTCACACGGTATAAAATATCAAAAAAAAAAAAAACCGTTTTCGTTTTATCCCCGATCGCGGCAATAAATTTCATTAGCCGGGGAAACCTTCGTTGTCGTCACACACACACACACAGACGCGTACACACACACACACACACGGCGCGCACAGACGATCAGAAAAATATTCAGAGAATTAAAAAAAAAAAAAAAAAAAAAAAAAAACTACACCTCGCGTTTGGAGATCTAGATAATATTATAATAATACGTGTATACGCTCGCGTATATAATATAATGTATAATATATAAGAGCAGCGGATGAGGCTTTATTATATGGGCATTAAAAAAAAAAGGTAAAAAACGTATACGTGTACTATATAACACATCGTATTATAATAATAATAATAATAATAATATAATGGTATATACGACAATAATATAATAATATAATACCGGTTCGAAATTGATAACTATTTTATATAATATTATATTATCGTTATTATTATTGTAGCGCGCGCCCGCACTCGCAACCGGAGTGCGCGCCCGCGCGTGTGTGTGTGTGCGCGCGCGCGCGCGCCCGTGGTTTTTTTTTTTTTTTTTATTCTAACGCACACGGACATATTTTTTTTTTCTCCTCTTTTCTTTTCCCGTGTTTTGTTTTGTTTTTTAATTGGACTGTTATCCGCTGAAAGACACACCGGCTCTCCGCTCGTCCTCCGCGCGTCACGCAGGTTATATTATTATACGCGCGCGCGCGCGCGCACACACACACACACACACACACACACACACACATACACATACACACATACACACACACTCACGCGACACACGACCCATTCACAAGCGCACGTTTATTATAATAATGTAATACGCGCGCGCACATACGGTCTCGGGTTCGAAAACCAATAAATCTGTCTGGGGTTAATGGAAGAATGAAAAAAAAAAAAAAAATAAAAAAATAATATTAATAATACGTATAATATATTTATTTAAATCATCGTCTCTCCCCTCCCCCTTGTCCTCCTCTTTCTCTTTCACCTCCTCCTTATAATATTATAATAAACGTCCCTGCTACATAGCCCGGCGAGTCCAGTTTTTTTACGTGCGCATACATATTATTATAATATTCGGTTTTTAAATTCTGAGTGGAACGAAATAGCGTTTAGTTTTAACAATGACCCGTGCGCAACCTTTCTACCAGTAGAATCGCTCGGATTTTTAAGTGTAGCACCATTTTTAAAAGGGAATCGATGTGGGGAAGTACTTTAAAGATGACATTTTCGATTTTCTCGGGAGTTTTCTCATCAAATTTAAAAAACCAAAAAAAATAAAATTCAGGAAAAATGGGAAAATATAAGAAATGTAGATATTAGTTAAAATATATTGCGGCCTTCTATTTTTCCGTGCACAATTTTTCTACTCGCAATTCTAATCCAACTTATGATGATAGCAATGCATCTAAAAAGGAAATTTCACTAGGGAAGTACTTTAGAGAGGTCATTTTTCAATTTTGCCAGTTTTTTCGTAAGCAAAGGTTTATCGTTGCTTACTGCAGGTATACCTACATTAAATTATTTATAACAGTGGCTACACCCGTTCCAATTATTCTGTATCTTTTAATACGCCTTTTACATTATTCTCGTTAGTTGTAATTTGTTAAATTTTTTTTGCAATACATTCACTTCAATAATTACTAATAGTTGACTCAACTCGTTCGGATAATATCTATTATAATATTACATTAATGCTATAATACAATTTTTGGACTTACGTTCGTCTGGTTCTGAGATATGAATATATATATATATATATATATTACATTGAAAATATTATATTATGCATGATATATAATATTATATATTTATCAAGTGAGAAAAATTGCGAAAAAAACGGGAAAATTTATGCAAAATATTAGTAAAATATTGCTATTTTTTCTGCGGACAACTTTTCTACTAGCAATTTTACTCCAATTCACAATGATAGCACTTACTAGTCAAATACCTCCCGTGTGAAGCCGGGTAATTCAACTATACTATGACACGACAGAGCAACACTATCAACCGAATTCCGCTGAGAACCGTTTTTCCATTAGCAATGGTTAATCGTTGCTTACAGATCTATATTAATACATAGCAGTGATTGCACCCGTCCCCGTTATCCTAGGACAGCTTTTGAATTTCGTAAAAAACAAGTGAGATACCGATTTTCTAAATAAAAATAAATAATTTTTTCCTGATACAGAAGTTGTAGGGCAATTTGAATTGAATTAACGCACGGTCAATGGGAATATATATATTTTTTTTAAATATATAGGTAATATCAATGGTCCCCCGCCCAGAAAATATTCCTAAAACCGCAGCTCGAGAAGGGCGCACGTCAATGTATTGTATTGCAGCGTTATACCGTGTATCGGATAATATTAAAATACATTGAATTTAACCGGTATTGTTGTTTTTTTTTTTGTTTTTTCCACCACCGCTTTTTACACGTCTACTATTATAACGAAACGGTTTTTTTTTTCGTCTTCTTTTTGTTCTCGTGTAGTACACGTATACACGTTTGATTTATTTCACGCGGAAACGAAATCGCGCATATTATTATTATTGTACGCCGTTTTCGTGCACGCAATATCGTTACGCACATAGATGTTAAATTATAATATCGTGTACATCTACGCGCGCGCGCGCGGGTGTGTGTGTGTGTTTGTAATACAGTGTAACGTGCGCGACGGAGGAGGGGCACCAATCCGGGACACCGGAATATTATCATCGTCGCCTTCGGCGCTCCGGTCTATTATCGTATTAAATTTCGTATCATATTCGGGCCAGTTATTATATTTTATCGCCGCCGTTAACTTACCGATGGTTATTCGGTTTTTTTTTTTTTTTTTTCTCTCTCTCCGCTAATCTTTACGCTTTGTTTGTTAATAGTTTCGTACGGTTCGGACGTTCGTAATTTTCGGCGTGTTCGCCGGCTCTAACCCAACCAATAACCAGTAATAATAATGCAAATAATATAATACATACGCAGCCGCCGTCGGACACAGTAACAACAATATCATATACGTGTATAGAAATCGAACGGACAAAAAAAAAAAAAATAAAACTCCGGCCAATTCAATCGGCGGGAATCATCGACGAGATCATATTGTGTTCGGTCGCCACCGCTATTGTAAGCCACCAGGTCCGGTCGAAAATTACGAAAACGCACGTTGTGTCCGGCCGCGTATTCGGTTCGTATACGTTTTAGATGTATTGTGTGCACACTCGACATTATATTATATTTTTACACGCCAACGGCGAAGTTTTTTTTGTTTTTCATTTTTTTGCGCCGTGCGTTTTCGGGGGGAGGAAATATTAACCGAAAACGTTTCGTCGCCACTCTTCCGCGGTTACGCGTCTCTTCTGTAATATATCGGGTTCTCGGGACTTCTATTGCACTTGCATGCGTTTCGGCAGCGGTCGTGAATCGTTCTGGATAGGCTGTACGTTTGTTTCATGAAATCCCGGAATTGAATACAGAAGTTTGAATTTGCACACATCCGCGCGAAGTCTGTTATAGTCTAGGAAAAGTGGATATTTGAGCGATTTCTACCACCGTGTCTGTGCATATTTCGCGTTTTATTTCAAAAAGTTCGTATGCGCCAAAAATTTCCGGGGAAATCGTTTTCGGATAAAATTATAAAAAACAGTTATTTCAATAAATTACTCTGGGTAGGCCGTTGGTCTCTTTATATCTTTGTCTTAGATCTCTGTCGACCTTGTCGTCGACGATCTCTATAGGTATATACCCGTTTTTGCGATTTTTATTTCTGTAATTGCGCAATACGTTCAATGCGTTTTTTAAAAAAAAAAAAAATTACCCGTATATTTTTAAGCGTATTTCGACGATTTCGACTGCATATTTGCACGCGTATTCCGATCATTGTTATCGGAACATGTACCGACCCCTACAGGCCAATATTACAACATCGTAGGGACCGAGTGCCGCGCCGGGTCCGTCCGTCCGTCACTCGAAACACCGCGAATCTCCGCGCCCTAAAATCCTTACGCCTCCTACACCCCCCCCTCCCAACCCTCGGCGCCGCGTCCGCCTGATAACGATAACGCGATTTAACAATAACAATTTCATTACAATAATAATCGGGATACTTCTTCTCCGCGTCGATTTCAAAACCGTTCGTGTACAGAACACGTCCGCAACGTCCGCGCGTTTATTGCGTATGCGCGACGACGGCCTTCGCCGTACGCGGGAGAAAAAAATGCGACGACGCGGCCGTAACAGTTTCGCCGATGATAATTCGATGACATTGAACGATCCCCTAACCCCGCCCCGCCCTCCCCCCAACCGTTTATCGTATTAATCAATAATCATTTTTTTTTTTTTTTTTTTAATATCGTATTGAAAACCGTATCGTTTTCGTACGCGGGCCGGTATATTAATTTCAAACAATTCCCCCGCCGCCTGCTACCGAGGAAACCAGTTTTGTTTTTTAACATTCGATTTTATTATCTTACGTACACATTATACGACGCGGTAGGTACACTATCGGTTTTGTTTTCTACGAAATGCAGTATCGCGCGTATGAGCACGGATTTATCACTCGGTTTTAAATGCGTTACGATGATAGTATATTACACGAACGAACATCTAAATAATTTTTATTGCGAATAATATACAACTTTACGACGCGCAATCGCTGGCTTATTTTCAATAATTTGATCACAATGTTGTCGATAATATATTATGTTTCACATTTATTGCGATTTATACTATTTTTATACTCATAATTTCGATTCGTATTCGCGCAAGTTCACGCTTTTATATTCTGAGTGAAGCGAGGAATGTTTGCGGTTACGATAGTATAATATTTACTGTGATATGGGATTTTTCGCGTCTGTGACCAAAAGCTCGTCGAGTGTCATCACCGGTCACAAACGTGCATAGTAATCCATTTTTGTACGGTTACAATTCATATAGCTACCGGCGAGGCGGTCGCAACGGTGAAGATATTCTTTTAAATTGCATCCTTCATAGATGACTTAACCCCCTCCCCCCCTCCCACTATTGTTGAAAAATAATTAGAGACTCGTTTTGTACGACAGACATCGATACAACGGCGCGACAATCAGTGATTACATGTCCCGGACGCCGCGCCGATGGTCTAACGAGGTGAAATAATAATTCTGGAGGTGATGATGAAAAGTCACCCAGTGACCGATCGTCACTGTCTGTCCCAGATGGTCACAACATTTTGTGCGACCGATTTGTAACCATACTTGTAGCATTTATTTGATTTAGTTTCAACGGTGTTCTACTAGAACACGTTACACATTGCAATGCTGCAAGTTGCATACGCGTAACGAAAATATTTCTGCG